AATACTTTAAAAAATAAAATAATGATTTACCTAGAACTGCCGCTGGGTCATTTCGATTCTCGGCCTTTCTAGTGTTAAAAAGGTTCATAGGGTAATCAGTTGCTGCCCTCGGTCACATACCTACATGACTGTATTTCAGGAAAATTATAATAAGTCAAAATCGAACACAAAATATTTGAATTACGGGTAAAAAAATTCTGTGGGCGCCATTCCTTATTTAGTAGGCAATACAAATACACTTGAAGACAATGGAATGGAGCCACCAGCGACTACTTTTCATTTTATCGATTATTCTAAGTATAAGTTAAAAAACCTTCTCCGTGTTAGAAGAGGCTTTGCTCAGCAGTGGGCGTTTATAGGCTGTTGATGATGAAGTTAAAAAAAATATCCTTTCACTACAAAATCCTCCTATTTTAAAAGTAACTAAATTGTCATTTATACGACATTTATTACCAATTGGGTATTTGCCAACTAGTCAAATTCAATACTTGTTTCGAACTGTCAAAAACTGTTTTCTATGAATTTAGTACGAGATTGCATATTGTGACGTCACGTTTTTTAGCGCCAAACACCATATTTATTTCTTGAAAAAAACTGGAACAATATTAAAATTAAGTTGGTCATAAAATCAATTACTGAAAGTGTGATTATTTTTCAATATTTTATTGAATTAGAAAATCGAAATAATTTATTTTTGATTAAGGAATGTAGCCAATTAATAATATATTTGTACCTATCAGGAAATATTTATCAAGAAATGAAAAAAAAACACGCTAGGCTTCGTCTATACTCCCAAGTGTAGTATTAGACATCCGCGTGTACGCTCGGGAACTGCAAAACATGAAGTTATGGTATGTGTTTTTCCATACCATTTGACATAGCCATTTTGCGGCAAATTTTGGGGAACAAATCGTGTACCATATGTGTTGTTTCGGATTCTATTTGTCATCTGTGTTTGTTTACGTCATATATTCAAGTTGTCTATGTGTAGGTATGTAGGCACATACAAAACGTACCCATATTTATGTACATTTTATTTGCCTGCCTCGTTGGCCGAGTGGTCGCAATTGCGACTGCCGGGCAAGGGGTCTCGGGTTCGATTCCCGGGTCGAGCAAAGTATTACTGGGTTTAAAAAAATTCTCAGTAGTAGCACGGAGTCTGGAACTGTGTCCGGTATATGGCAAATGGCTCACACCCTATTACATTGGACTCATAACATAAATAGTGAAGAGTAGGTGTTACGTAGTGGTATAACGTGCACCTCTGCCTACCCCTTCGAGGATAAAAGGCGTGATGTTATGTTATGTAATGATATTTTATATGCATATGTGTATCTATGTATATCAAATATGCTTTTAATATATATACTAAAGTAATTCAATAATGGTGTACTGAATTAATTATTATGTTTTTGGCTTACTCCCGTAACTGTTTAACTAGAGTAACAGCGCGACAGTCGCCGTGTTGCGGGTCACGGAATGCTGCTCATGAATATGAGCCTCTAGCATGGCTTGAAACTAGTCGAGTTCCTTGTCAAACAGTTACGTGAGTAGGCCGATAACGTTATAATTAATTTAGTATGTCTCACGAAATTTATAATATAAACAATGCTACCATGGTCATGGGACCATTAATATGGTGATGGTACCATATTAATTATTTTTACTGAAAATAAGTAGGTTCATAAATAAATAAATAAACAGAATTTTTATATAATACTTTATTTCATAATTCTTCGACACAAACATTGGACATAAGGAATCTTACAATTGCTCCATTTTATTTCGTTTAATCTCTCTTTAGCAAATACTGTTCTTAAATAGACTTAGGTATAACTTTCAAAGCTTTTGAATTCATAAATAAACCTTACAAATATGTACATTATTTGATACTAGGAATCGTAAATATAACAGAATTACTTCAAGTAAGAAACACTACAATCCACTTCATCGTACGTAATCTTTTCTGTCAAAACTAATCTTCTCATAATCCTATACAGAGGCGTTAAAGGTTCCATTACAAAAAATAAATATCTTGTATAGACTTACTAACAAAGAACTATGAAGATGGATGCTAATAACAGAAAAAGTATTCCTTTCAGCAATATTATTTGGTATATTTATATTCGCAATACAATTCTTTGGTATACTACTATTTACAATCTTCAAACGTCTAACTGAAATACATTTTCAGGCTGAATCTGACACAACAACGACACATTAGCGAAACATTCAATAAACCCCTAAAGTACTTCGTGGTAAACCAATTATCGCCGTTTACATTAAACCTCGATTTCTGAAAGGCAAATAGAAACGTCGCTCAAATTTTTATAAATTTCGTTTCAATTAATGATTGGTTGTCCAAAATTCCTGTAGTTCCTATATAAATGATAATAAAAAAAAATTTAAGGCTATTGTTAAATTTTAAATTTCGGAATGTATCACGTGTGTACCTACCATAGTGAGGCATCAGACCCTTATAAATCCTCTTAGTTGCACGGGAAAAACAAAACGTGATATACAAAAAAAATACAATATTTTACGTTTTTTTAGATTTGAAAACAAAAGAGACATTTAGGTGATGAATGAATAACTGCAATTTCTATGGACATATTATTTTAAAATTGACTAACTTTTAAGATCCATGAAATGAGCCATTCAAAAACCGAGGCTTATTTAGGTACCCTGCACACACTACGTACCTATGCTTTTTTTGCGCTCATAATACATGCGTGCAATACTCTGACGATACGATTACTATGCGTACAGCGCGCGCTCTTCTTGCTATCGTAGTACGCGCGTACTACAAGAGGTACACTTCGTATATGAACAGGGTCACACTCTTTACTCTTTAACACTGAACATACGGACTAAAGCACTGTCACATTTCACAGTTCACTATAGAAAATGTTCTCTCACCACTGGGGCGTGCCCGTGTTTCACGCGTCCTCACGGCACAGACGTCTTTGCACTGTAACAAATACATTAATTATATTAAAAAGTGTTGCGAAGAAGAATCAACTATATTTATGAAGTAATAAAACGTATTTTTGATTACATGTTATGTCTACTTTAACCTAATAATGCCGGAATACTGAAACGTTACTCAATTTCAAGTCGTGCTTAGGTAAATATCGTGCCATCTCTGTCATTTCACAAAGAATTAGTGGTGACAGAACTATACTTAAGTGTGACTTAAAATTGAGTAACGTTTCAGTATTCGGGCATAAGAGCTTTAATTTGTTGTATTTTATTTTCATTTCCTTGAGTTTGGTTGCATTTTTAAATTAGCACATTAACATGTTTGTTATATTACCTCATGTTTACGGTACGGTACGGTACATTATGTACCACCTTTAATCATAATATTAGTTAAATTAATTCAACATTTTCGGTATGATTTTTTACCAATCTTACTCTAGTAAAACCAATCAATACGCAGTGAGAGCCGTTCAAAAAAACGAAGAACCCATGAAAATGAATAGAACCACAAAGCAAATTCTAGCGAGCTATGTAAAATACCTATCGAATACCCGCTGGGACCTAAAATTGGGATTTAAATACTTATACACGCTACGCACAAAGCCTATTTTTCCATAAAATTCAAAATTTCCATTTCAAAATGTTTAAAACTGTGCTTTGAACTAAAGGGTTACAGTTCCATTTAGTGCAAATGGAATTTTGACACTATTACCGTTTTAAGTGTGAGATTATCGTTCTATATTATGATTTTAACATTCAAATGTGTAATTATACATCAAAGGATACTATGACGCCTCTTTCCAAATTCCACGATTGTCTTCGTAGGCACGTAGTCTTCATTTGCCAAATGGAATATACCTATTTTACAAAAAGATTTTCTTGTTAGGCGTGTTTGACAAAGTGAACCTGGCCTGAATTCAACACTGTCTTAAATTAGAGACTTCAAAGTTTTCCCAATTTCAACGACAAGTTTCCAAGTGTTTTACAACCTAATTGTTCAAATGCTTCCAAAATTAGGATAAGATTTCTGTATTCATTCTAAACTTAAAACTTTTTTATTCATTAAATTGCTAGCCTTTCGAATTGAGAACAATCGTCACAGCTCTTTTCTTTAAAGCGCAAAATCCAATCACCAAATTGCATTCTTATTATGTCAACGAGGACGATCGTGGACACACACAGCCACACAATAAAAACTTTTTAATTTAACATTTTTAACTTTACGTAGGAAGGGTCCGCTACAATTAGGTCAGATTTACAGCAAAAATATAGTACTATTACTATGCAAAACAGTAGTAACTTTCTTTATCGTAATCCTCTACTAAAATGCCTCTAGATTCATACCATTTACAGCCCTTTTTAGTACACCTAGTCGTAATTTTGTTATTGACCCACTAAAACATTTTTAAAGTTACTAAAAAACACCTAACACTTTATCTAACGTTGTGATTTTATGTTAATCGTGGCCAACAATTTACTTAAATTGCCCAAAACCAAATAAAGACGAAAAAAAGGAACCATGTGAATGAAATGGGCTGTGAGAACAATTGCTGTGAATTGCGCGACAGCCGAATACTTTCCACAGTTATCATAGGTACGTGCGACCTCTTTTATATTTTTGCTATAAGTATTTTAACAAACCTGGCTGCGAATACTCTGTTATGTTTTTTCTTTATTTACTTTTTTCATAATATTAGAGTAGTGTTGGCATCTCGACATTCAAAAGAAACAAAAGGGAATCGTTGAGTGAAACATTAGAAAATATTCTTTGTTATTTATCTTACGATGTTTATACAGATGTCCGTTCTTGCAATAATATAGAAATGAAAGCAAATGTAAGTAAAGGAAGTTATTACATCATACATCATGCAACTGAGAGTCAAATGTATATACATGCATGTTCCTTAGACGTAAACAATGTTCATTGCAGTTTGAGGAACACGTCTTATATGCAAATTCAGTTATAAATGCAAAAGCAGTCGTTACTCACATATCCATATTTATATTGAAGCTCGGCTGTAGTTACCTTTTTATCTTTTCTGTGCACCTGCAGGGAGGAAACAATTTCATGACTCATGGACATAGTTTTTAAATTGTTTCACAAAACATGCAGTTAGCGAGAAACGTAGTAGTTAGTTGACAGTTAGTAGACAAATAAACGAAAACAACAAAATGCACGATCGAAAGTTATTATTAAGGGACTTACGTATTTTGGTTGTGAGAGTCGGAATGTGATGCCGTGGGTGGCAGGAACCTCGCAAGATGTGGCTGTAATAGCAACTGCCTAAACGTCTGCCGAAACTGCCGCGACATGGAGCAGTACAGCACGAAGTTTATAGCTCCATTCAACAGCGCCAGAAAGTCCATCAGCTCCCCAAACAGATCGTAGCATCGCTTAAAGAAGCACCACCCGAGGAGACCACTCATCAATCCCATGATTCCTTGAGGCAGTTCCGTCACGAGGAACAGCAGTAGCACAGCTAATAACATCTTCGTTGTTCTATCAGTTCTTTTGTCTGCTTTGTTCTGCCTTTTTACCATTTTCTCAGCAGCGGGACAGGTGTTATAGTTCCTTAGTTTCTTCTGGTGCTGGTTCGCATTGTAGAGCGCTCGTATAAGCCAGATACTGATCACTGTGAGTATGGAACAGGGCAGCAGTTTGATGACGACACCGTGCACCCAGAAATTGGCTTGATACAATGTCCCTTGGTAATCTGAGTCCACATGGTACGCAATGTCTGGGTTGCCAAATTTGTCAGTCACGTTTTTCGTGTGTATATCGAAAACCTGTTAAACAACGTAATAAAGTAAATATTTTGTTATGCACATCGTTATTCAAGTCTATTATTAACATCGTTATAGTATAAATATGTATATTTATGCCTTATTTTATATTAGTTAATTCTAACTAAAATGTTATGATGACAGTTCTATTTGAAAGAAATTCTCCTTTACAAAATTAGCATCCTATATCATGCCGTAATTAGTATAAGCCATATAAATGTTATCTCGTGTAAAATAATGGATATGAAGTTTCATAAATAAATTATTTAAACAAGGCGTCCGAATAATGTCCATAGGAACGTGACCATTTGATTGACAACAGTGCCACGTCGGATCGCATGCTAATACATCGAACAATGAACGGCCAGTAATAATGGATATTGTATGGAAAATAGTGAATGTTTGCAGAGGATTTTATATCGCTTTGAATTCGATATTGCTCGCAAAATATAATAAATAAAGCGTTGAAATATTGTATCTGATATGAAAATCATTCATATCATTTTTTGTCCATTCACTGAATTTTCTCAGAAGGCCTTTGTTAGAAGTCAGACCATAAATCAACTCATAATTGCGTTTTAGAAAACTTTTCTAGGAATACTAATTGATTCAAGGTTGATCTGGTTTGAAAATGACCAAGTCATAGTCGCCAATGATCAATGATAAATCTCGGTCAAGATGAAGGAGTTATGAAAGGACAATAGGGTAGATGCCTAATTTTTATTTTAATGTCCGTCTGATAGATTATTTGAAATCATTAGACACGTATTTTTTATTTTCTTACAGAAACGAATACTTTCGACGATATATTGATTTGAAATGTCGCGTGACGTCACTTCTATGTACGTTTTATACGTAGAAATGACGTTTTAGTCGCCACTCCTAAACTTTGATTCGTTATATCTAAGTATTGTTTTCTTATACAACAATATAAAAAATACTTGTCTAATATTTTTTCATTACCTAACTGACGGATTATTTTGATTTTTAATTGTCATACTCAGTCATCATCCCTATTAATGTATGAAAAGCATGGAGTTGGAATGGCTTACCATGAAAGTAGGTGCGCACAATATAGGAGGCAATATGAAACTCGTTAAGATTGCGATGCTACACCTCCTCTCCGTGCACAATATATGACTTTTGTCTGAGTACCTGCAATAGATAACAATTTAATTAATGTTTAAAGTTTACTAAGTGGGTTCTAAGTAAAATAACAACATAACATAATATCACGCCTTTTATCCCCGGAGGGGTAGTCAAAGGTGTACATTACGGCTGGCACTTAATGCCACTGTACAATGTGAGGTGGAATTTTAAACGATAATAAAATATTTAACTGCCTCGTTGGCCGAGTGGTCGTAAGTGCGACCGCCAGGCAAGGGGTCTCGTTCGATTCCCGGGTCGGGCAAAGTATTACTGGGTTTTTTAATATTCTCAGTAGTAGCACGGAGTCTGGAATTGTGCCCGGTATATGGCAATAGGCTCATCCCCTATTACATGGGACTCATAACATAAATAGTGAAAAGTGGGTGTTACTTTATACAATGGTATAATGTGCACCTCTGCCTACCCCTTCGGGGATAAAAGGCGTGATGTTATGTTAAATATTTATTGAGTATTGTATGTAAAGGCCAATACAAATATAAATCATCGTATGAATGGTCATCATCGGCAAAAAGAATTGTGTAAAATCTCTCAAACAATATAACTGCCTTGGTTTTATTGCTAGTTGATTATAAAGTAATACTAAGAATAAAAATAAGAACAAATATCATTCATTTACTGTATCAACAAGAACGGTTTCCCAAGAGACAACATGACCGTTCTCCGACGTCGACAGAAAATTAATTGGTTTTCAACAAATACTTAGGTCGCAGTTCCTAAATGAAGGATTATTTGATTAGATGATTAATACCGGTTTCCACCAATCTCTCCTAAATTTTAAGTAACCTCTAAGCGAAGATAGGTGACATTTAACAATATTTAGACTCATCAATCTATATGTGACACCTAATTAACAGTACAAGTAAGGGGTTAGTTTAGGTACTTCGTCACGCAAAGTAACTAATTAAGAGATGGTGAAAATGGCCATTAATTCAATTTGTGACCTGAGGTAATTAATCAGGACCAATTGATTGTTTCTTAGGGACTACTTAGTTCGATGAAAAAGAAGTAACACCCTAAAATCTGTGAACGTCTTGAGGTTAGATTAAAGGTACTATTGGCAAAGTTTATGGTACATTTTTTAAACAAAATCCTGTGGCAAACCTGCTGTACACCAGTCGTTTTCCCCATGATCCCTCGCGGCGAGTGCATTTGAATATCGCCTATTAATGGTCGACCGCACTGTACTACTTTGTCAATTGTACAGTGATTAAAAGTATTGATTACTATACTGATTATTTGACTGCACGGTTGGCGCGGTGGCTGGGCAACGGGCTGCCGTGCAACATGTCGCGGGTTCGATTCCCGCACGGAACAACACTTTGTGTGATCCATAAATTGTTGTTTCAACTCTGGGTGTCATTGTGTATGTGAACTTGTATGTTTGTAAACGTACCCACGACGCAGGAGAAAACCCTAGTGTAGGTCAGTTTTTTTTTTTAAATAAAAAAAAATACTATAGTTCTATTGGCTTTCGGTTGTCTTTTTTTATTGAGCTTATGCAACAGATTTTACATACATGATACAAAAAATTGTATCGTAGAGTTTAAAATGTTATGTTGTCAGAAAAAAACTGAATAGAAGAGCAAATATTACTTTTTGTACAAAAAATCATAAAATTTATTTCTATTTTTTCAAGTAACCTAAATAAATTGTTCGGTTTGTTTTGATGACCAAATATTTACCTATGGAATGTACCTATACATTTGACATACATTGGTAGCTCAATTAAAATAGGATCAGCGTTTTTACTTTTTTTTTTACTTGTCGGTTACCATGGAAACTATAAAAACTATTGCTCTGCTATTTGTTATTTATCTCTGTAAGCAAGGTCGTTAAAAAAAGCGGACATAACCATCATCATCATCAACAGCCTATAAATGCCCACTGCTGAGCAAAGCCTCTTCTCACTAGGAGAAGGTTTGAGCATTAATCACCACGCTTGCTCAATATGGTGATTACAAACTTATAATTAGAAATTATAAGTTCAGGTTTCCTCACGATGTTTTCCTTCACTGTTTGTCAGTGGTGTCTAAATAATCTTAGAAAGTACATATAACTCGAAACAAGTCACATTGGTACTTGCCGTTGGTAGGTTTGGAATCCGCATCCTCATGCATGAGAAGCGGGCGTCTGAAACCTCTGGGCCACCACGACATTTTTAATAATGGACATGGCGGACATAATGTCACTTAGAAATGATTGAAGCCCAAAAATTACAGTGAATTTTTCATGTGTGCGCGTGTATTGGGTTACCACGTTACTAGACCTAAGAAAATAAGAGATGTCCTTTGTGTCAATGTGTTTATATTCTGTATGTAACTCTATAGCAGCTAGATGTTCCAAGAGACTGTTCTGTACTGTTCGACTTTTGAATTTATTTGAGTTTATTTCCATAAATCCCGTAAAAGGTTACGTTACTCCTGTGCTAATAGTTATTTCGCGGTGGTTGCGTATAAGTACTTACTTATAAGTGGATACACGTGTCTGATAAATCAATACAAGGGATGTTCTGATATTAGAGAGTTGAAGAGCTGTTTGTTTTCATTTCATCGCCGTTTTTTAATAAGATTTTGAATAACTTTTTTTTACCTGATATTTGATTGCTTTATTCTTAAAACTATAAATAAACTCAAGAATACCTAAGATTGCGTCGTTGGCCGAGTGGTCGCGAGTGCCGGGCAAAGGGAGTCTCCGGTTCGATTCCCGAGTCGGAAATTAAAAAAACGCAACGACTCTGAAATTGTGCCCGGTATATGGCAACAGGCTCACCCCTATTACTTGGGACTCATAACATAAATAGCATAAAATGGGCTTTGCTTTGTACAGTGATATTAAGTACCGTAATATGCACTCTACCTATCTCTTTAGGAAGTTGAATATCAAATGAGATCGAAAAGAAACATACACATGTTACTGTTTAACAAAGAACTACTAGATAGATTTAGATGAAATTTTGATACAGACACAGAGTATATATAGTCTGGAACAGCACATGGGATAATGAAGCCGTTGGCAGAAGCCTAGTGGCCTATAGTAAGTACAGGCAAAGAGAGTTTATCTCAAACGGATTGAAAATGTCCTCCGTGGGTAATGAAGCGGGTATTATGTTTGAGCCAATGGACCATCGGGCTGTTAGTCCTACATTCTAGTTGGTTCGACTGTATCGAAGTGTCATTTCACTTGTGAACTTTTGACTTCTGTTAGGGCATTGTAATCCGTTCATAGAATGGATTAAAACATAATACTAGTGATAGTTTTAGGTATGTTTTCTGTATTTGGTGTGTAGGTAGTATGGTTGTGTTTAAAAGAGTAACGAATGGAGTTTCTTGCTCGTTCTTCTCCGCTCGAATCTACATTTTGGAACCAGCGCCTATCTTCATTGACGGACAGACTGACAAATTATAATTTATTTTATATTTGTTGACGTTTTAAAAGTCCCAAATTATGCTTTAATTGAAATAAATGCTTTTGAGTTTGAGTCTGCATTGCAGAGACAGAGAGAGGTTCTAGGTAGACACATAGATCTTCAAAGGAGGGGCCGTAACATGCGATGCCCTGTGGGGGCTCCGGGGCTGGTCTACTAGGAAGACCAGGTATCTTTGTCAGGTACAGATGGTGACCACCGGGGAGATATTAGTGAGGTAAAAATCCCACATTGCCTAGTTTTTTTCCACAAAAAGGTAGGCGTCTTTTGAAGGTTTCACTCTGACAAAACAAAATTAAGTTTTCTATTTAAGATTGTTCTAAAATTGTTAAAATATCCTTTTTTGACCGTGAGATAAATGCAGAGCTAAATCAGAATCAGAATCAGAATATTTATTTGTATAACATAGGTATATACATAATGGTGTTACAAAAAATAAATAAATATTTAGACACAATAAATTGTGTTGTATGAGTAATTACATGGTACCTACTGCTCGCAGTTCTTATTAGGCAATCTATGTTTTTCGGTGATATATTATGTATGAATTATATTAGAGGTAGAGTAACAGTTTACAAAATGACGTCAATTCTAGTGTCATTTTAGAACAGTGGCAGCGCACTGATTTGTGTAAAATGTCCCTGAAGTCAATCGCACAAATGACAGGGTCGGTAAAATGTCCTACGATGCGGCACGATATAACGAGCTCCACATTTAGTGCAGTTGCTCGAGAACAATATCCCCCCCACTCCACCATCTGCGCCCTCGACACCCCTCAACAGCTCATGTTAAAATGAAAGACTTTATGAACTACAACTATAACATTTTCAAGGTTCCTGAGTTAACAAGTTTTTCAAGTTACTTGTACTATGAAAAGTAGTTAAATTTAATGTTTGATTAAACCTTGGAGGTTTAGGTAGAAAAAAGGTTTATTATTACCAATTATAGTATTACGTACTAAACTCTCATAATTAGTTTTTGGCAATAGTAAATAATTATATTGCAATGAACTAATAATAGCTGGTGAAAAGTGCATATCTTACGATGCTTACCTTATAAATATTTCAAAAGTAACCCTTAAAACATAAACATACTTACTTTATAGCCAAATATCTCCATATAGCGAGTGACAGGGTGAGGCATATAGACGCGGTGTGCAGTATCTGAGCGAAGTGCATATGAAACAGCAGGTACATCGCCCACGAGTACGGGAAATCCAATTTTTCCGGCAGGACCTGCCAAATAAAAGTCTATATATATATATTTCTAAAAGTCATTGTAAATAAAATTGTGTTATTTGATTTCTATTTTTATAGGTGTATGATATTTCCGAAGTGCGTGGCATAAAAATATTCCATTATTTGAAAAAAAACGACCTATGTAAAAAATGGAACATATTTTAACATTTTTTTAAATAGTTAAAAACAGATATCTGTTTGAACACGACGATCGTACAACGATATTTTATAGCAAAAACTCAAAATGTGATTAAGCGGGATTACAGACTAATATGTATGTAATATAATCTGCTATTAAAAGTGCTAAGAGTACGAGAAATCGTTACGCTTTTAAGAATACTAATAATTGATCCAACACATTTTTTAACGATACGATAAAAAAATCACCTTCCGCTTCAAAATTATTGGACCGAAGACATCAATTGCCGCCTTTGTCAATATATTTCAGTGACGGGTACATAATGGTTTTGGTTCATAGTCGAAAACCACTCTTGTCAGTTTTATTGAAAAATAAATAGGTCAACGGATTTCCCTCATTTTATCCTCGTTTCAACCCAAATAAACTGGGCGAAGTGGGAAAATAATATAAATGAGGTCTAAACGTTCCAATTTGTCACTTTCTTAACACATCATTATATTTTAGAAAGATATGGAAACTATTTACTGAATGATTAGTATAACGTACTGTAGGTAAAGTTTTATTTATTTATTTATTTTACACTTTATTGTACACCATAAAAACATACATAAAAAAAAAAAAAACAAACATAAAAGAATGTGCACAATGGGCGGTCTTATCGCAGAATGCGATTTCTTCCAGACAACCTTTGGATGGAGCCAGTATTCTATAATGTATTGTAATATTTATTTAGTTGGTATAAGTACCTATTCGTTTAGCAGTATATATTATATAGTATGTTTGTCTATATAGATTTATAAAATATTCTATAAATGTATTTATTCTATAGGTATCTAAACGTGAAGTATGCATATTAATTTACAATTTTTTTTAAATTGAGTTCTGGCTTCGCATCCACCTGTTTTTATGATAACTATCGTGAGACAATCGTACTAAATTAACTAAATTCGCGGGTTACTCACGTGTGTCACTCAGTGAGCTGCGCGACATCGCCGCGACCACGAACGCTCATGAGGAAGAACCCCTCTGTGGTTCGAAACTAGTAGAGCTTTACTCAGTATATTCACGTGAGTAACCCGCCATTTTAGTTAATATCGCATCAACCTCTTCATTTCTCTGAAGTTCCCTATGGTTGACTTTCAGAGATTACCTTAAGGCATTAAGTCCGCCATTCATCTTTTGTAAAGAAGAAAAATATGTATTTTAGAAACTACCACATTTGAAGTCGATACGCATTTACATCAGTAATAACGAACGCTATGAAATATGAAGTTGTAAGTAAACACGAGCAAAAATAAATAAATATCAAATTAATAAATGTTGACACAGTATGTTTAAGTCCAATTCATATTAGTTTGATGAATAATTTTAAATAAAGAAAAAATATATAGTTCGGAAAACCAACAGAGCTATAATGTCGTGTCAGCTTTTTTCAAAAAATGTTGTGCTAAAATGTGTATTCATAAAAAGTTATTTTTATATTCATAAAAAGTCACTCGACTCGAACTCGACTAAAATTTTATTTCATAATTTATATAAATAATTTATTTCTTTATTTCTGAACAGATAAAGGAACACGAGCCAATACAATTTATTTTAGCGACCTCAGTATAATTTTATCTAACATAACATAAATAGGTGGAACAGACCTGGTCTTTCTTTTATATATATAGATATTTGAATATCCATATTCAGAGAATCCATTCTCTGCAGACGTCACTTGTATATTTTACATAAACGATTCATAAACTAACATAACAACGCCTTTTTATCCCCGAAGGGGTAGGCAGAGGTGCACACTACGGCACTTAATGCCACTGTACAATACATCACCCAGGTGCACATTATAATGTACAATGTAACACACACTTTTCACTATTTATGTTATGATTCCCATGTAATAGGAGGTGAGCCTATTGCCATATACCGGGCACAATTCCAGGCTCCGTGCTACTACTGAGAATTTATTAATTGTTAAGAGAATAACTTCATTTAATATTGTATATCGAGAAAACATTTCAAATAAAATTTTGTTTGTGTGCGTTGAATTGGCTTCGATTCTACTGAACCGATTTTACCATTGGATAGTTTCCTTTTCATCTCATTGCTCCTGTAAGATTAGCACACCTAATCGAGAAACATCTCCTAAAAACCATGCTGACCGAAGCCACAATACAATACTAGTCATCAATAAAATATGTATGTCTGTTCCAACAATGGTGGCAGCTGCAACGTTAGTACCTACTCTTAAATCACCATACACAATGGAAAATAGCTTGCATTCATAGATCAAGCCATGTTTTATTATGGGAGAGCCATGCTTCGGCACGGATGACCGAGGGATGACCGCTAACCTGTGATTGTTTTCGCAAAAAGTTTCTCTTTTAAACGAATACCTCTTATTGGCTTTCCATTTAAAGCTGATTTTTAAAATACTTTTTATTAAAGTCAGCTTATTCTTTTATACTTAATGTTGGTGTAATAGGCATAAAGAATTCTAAGTAAACACAACTGTATTCACTATAAAATTATATTATTGAGTAGTCAGAATTTAGAAATCTGACTTACCAATTTCTAATTTTTGCCATACCTATTATTGGAAGCAAGTACAATAGCTCACACATAGGACCCACTTAGTTTTTAGTCAAATTTCCGTTGTACTGTTGACTTCTAATTTGGGCCAGAAGCCAGAGAGAACTACTGAATATTCGCTACTCTACTAAAATACTAGTATAAACGAAATGTGAACAAGGCATAAGAGACAAAAAACTTTAGTGGGTGTCTAGTTCAATCCCCGGGTCGGGCAAAGTATTACTAGGTTTTTAAAAAAATCTAAAAAAATAGCATACATGAAAATTGGGTGTTACGTTGTACAGTGGCATTAAGTGCCGTAATTTGCACCTCTGACTACCCCTTCGGGTATAAAAGACGTGATAATAGTAATGTGTAAAATAAGTTTATATAGAAATTCAATCTATTTTGCACTAGTAAATATGTTCCAGTAAACAGTACATACAACGTGTTCATCACGGTATTTTAATTAAATAGATTACACAGATAAAGCAAACACGTGTTTCACGCAACATAACATAAATTATGATTGTATATAAATAGTAATTATTTATCTATGCGTTATCTGTTCTATTCATCATAAACTACTTCGTCTAAATCAATAATTTTCCGATAACTTTTATCTATGGCTCACAGGTGAAACTAGTTATTTCAGTATTCCACTTATACAGTCTACGTGAATACCATACCTAATTATGTCGAAGCTCTGTCAGGTTATTTTCTGTAAAACAGAAGACTGCACAATACATGGGTTTATTTCACAAATTACAATCAAGACGGTGGCGCTTTATCAATGCCGATACAAAGAAATGCCCGAAAGCTATGGCGTTGGTGAAACGAGAATGTAGAACAAGAAGCGCAGCGCTTGCACGGCCCTGAATTTTATACCTCCGCAAAAAATAATGCACCGACAATATACTACTTAACATGTTATGAAAATGAATGAAAATAAGAATTCTATAATCGTAACACTATGAGATCACATCTAATGCTATTATTAAGCCTTTGACTGCCGTCAGAAAATTGCTGAAGAAAAATCCTCTGCTAACGTAGGTCACCGGTGACCTACGCGGCGGTTAACGTGTTAAAAAGAAATAAAATATCTATTCGATGAAGTACAAATATCTGTTTGAGACCACACATCTATTATCATTATTTAAAACAAATAAATTACCTATTTCTTAAGATTTAAGGCCAATTAATTAATAACTGTCTATAAAGAGATCGACCGTAGGCTGATCGACTTTACAGAGACCAGAGGTCTGGCTATTTCTTCGGACAGAAAATAAGCATTGCCATTCAACGTGACAATGCTGCCAGTCTTCTGGGAACATCCCCCGGTGACAGTGATGCGGACTAGTACTTTTAAGGGTATTTTTTAACTCTTTTTATTTATAGGTTTAGGCCAATTACATTAAAAATAGAAAAAAAATGAAGCACAAGACAGATGATTCTGGATAAAGTGCTGAAGATAGTTTTCAAACATCAGACGCGCACTCACATTCCAACATAGAACCATTAGAAACATGCAATAAATCAAGGAATCTAATAAGAACTTACACTCAGTGAAGTGTGCTTGCAATCAATATTGTCTACTAACGAGGTTTCTACTAAGGAGACTATATACTACCACTTATTATGGACTAAGGGGAAGTCAGTACACAGTGTATGTTAGAAACACCATTTACAAATCAAACCCGATTTTATTAATATAGGTACATTTTCAGTTAACTCGAGTTTAACTACCATAACATCGAAAAATGTACGACAATAAGATAATCATGCACGTAGTATTCGTGATTATGGGCCCTCGCTTGGCTTGAAACCAGTCGAGTTATTTCACCGAATTTATATGACAATATTGATAACTACACAATATTATGTGTACTAGTAATAAAGTCGAAATAAAAATGTTAACTATAATATAGCTTAAAGAATAGTAATGATGAAAAGGTATGAAAATTAAATATCTAATTAGTCCGTCAGTTAGGTAAAATTAATTAAGTATTTATTTATTTGGTTGTACAATAAAATAATACTTAGATAAAACGAATCAAAGTTTAATAATGGGGGCAAAAACGTCATTTCTACGTATAAAATGTACATAGAAGTGACGTCACGCGACATTTCAAATCAATATATCGTCGAAAGTATTCGTTTTTGTAAAAAAATATAAAACAGGTGTGTATCATAATCTTTTTAAATAATCTACCAGACGGACATTAAAATAAAAATTAGTCATCTTCCCTATGTTTGAAACTATTGCCCTGTCCGCTACAAACTTCAATGTGTAATTAAGGACTCTAGATTAAACTTCAAAAAAGATTGTCAAACAACTTCAAAAGCCTTTGCCTGGACGACAATCAAGGGAGCTGGTACTAATATTAGTTATTGAAAATGTAGTTTTTTTAAGTCAGGTCAATGGCTGACTGTCCTTTGATGTTATTTTTCATTATACCGGTTGAGATTAAAATCAATGATAGAGTTTTGGGGTATTAAACAACAACGTTTACATAAAAATGATCAAATAAAAATGTTATATGTATATCTTGTTCCAAGGTATATGAGACATTTATATGTTTTCAAACCTATAGTTACTCTTATAATGTTTGGCCACCTATGCATTTCATCATCAATCAGGAAAAGGCCATGGCAAAAAACCGTTTAACTACCAAATCTGTATTTATAAAATATCCTAAAACTACTTACAACTGTCCGTTAATAATGTTTATATTTATATAGAACTATCTTCTGCCCGTGACTTCGTACGCACAATCCCGGTTCCTCCCGTTCCTGTGGGATTTTGAAGACTTTTTTCTGTCATAAATAATAAACACAACAAAAAAATCAGTCGAATCGGTCTAGCCGTTCTCAAGTTATGGCGTGACAACGGGAAACGGGTTTCATTTATGTATAGATAACAGTAACAATGGACTTAGCATATCATGTATTATATCCTGAAGAGGGAGGCCGAGAAGCACGTGATGTCGTAAAAGCCAGTTGACACATTGGACAGAGACCAGCAATAGTACCTACTGCCTGAAAACCCTGAAGCTGCTAAACTGCGACATTCAAGGCAACACTTTTAATTATGAGACAATCATGTTACTCTTATTCATTATGATTCAGAGCATAGATATCTAAATGCTAATTATTATGTACAAATATTCGACTAATGACAAAACCTTTATCTAATATTTCGAGAGGAACACAAACTCATTTTATTAGGTACCTACACGTGTGCCAAGTAAGTATTACACAATAATTTGCAAGAGTCTGAACTGTTTAGAAAAGTACAATCTATTATTTGTTGCAAAATCTTTCCGAACCTAGATTTAGATGGCCCCAAAATTAGATTGAAATGAGTTAAAGAATATTAGTAGCACGGAGTCTGGAATTGTGCCCGGTATATGGCAATAGGCTCGCTCCTATTACATGGGCCTCATAACATAAATAGTGAAAAGTGCGTTACATTATACAGTGGTATAATGTACACCTCTGCCTACCCCATCGGGGAAAAAAGGCGTGATGTTATGTTATGTCATGAGTTAAAGAAAAATTCATTGATTAATTTCACTGAAACTTTTGTAAATTAGAATTTCAAATGGATTTAAGTTGGAAAGCTTACTTTATGGACAAACAACGAACTCTTTGATTACTCTTTTTCATCGTATTGGTTTTACATTTTATGTTCTTACTCGGAAAGTATTATGTTCTCCCGTTTCATGGCTTTTGCAATTCCAATATTTTCGTGCAACTGAACAATATAAAGCTCAAATATCAGAATAGACGAATCAATCAGTACATGGAACCTGACCAGGATCTTAGTATTCGATTGTTTCACTATGTGGGCCATAAATTCAAAGAATGGTTAATCGAATATGATCTTCTAGTTTTAATTACTATATACGAAAGAATAGTTAAGATCTTCACGACTTTTAAACGTTGCATAGATAGCGTTGGCAATCAAATGGGTACTCATACCCTCATAATCCTCAAATAAAACGTATTAGTTGGCAGTAAGATTTACCAAAACAAAGAAAATAATCATCATCAACAGCCTATAAATGCCCACTGCTGAGCAAAGCCTCTTCTCACACGGAGAAGGTTAGAGCATTAATCACCACGCTTGCTCAATGCGGGTTGGCGATTTCAAACTTATAATTAAAAATTATAAGTCCAGGTTTCCTCACGATGTTTTTCCTTCACCGTTTGTCAATGGTGTCTAAATAATCTTAGAAAGTACATATAACTCGGAAAAAGTCACATTGGTACTTGCCGTTGGTAGGTTTCGAACCCGCACCCTCATGCATAAAAAGTGGGCGTCTTAAACCTCCGGGCCACCACGACTGCTGACGAAATAATCATAAAATTAAATAATATAGGTAATAATTACTTACCAAATGTCTATAAATAACGAAGGGTACATATTCAATCATCACGAAGACATCAGCAACAGCCAGCCATTTGAGGAGTCGGTTTATAGGAGCGGCAGCCATGTCTCTTCTCGTCAGCACAGCAATGTTCATTGTGTTGGCCAATACTCCTATAGTGCAAACCTGAAACAAATAAAAAAAGTAAATGAAAATCCATCGTGTACCTATAGTGCATTCGGTGCATACAGTAAGTCATCATTGTATTTCGGCCTAGTCCCGCCCCCTAAATAGATTTTAAACTTTTAAGTGTATTTTTATAAATTCATTAGACTTAATCTTTTAAAATATACTTCGTTTGAATTTCACACCACTATAAATACACCTTTAACTTACAATTGCATTGATGACTCACTGCATTCTTAAAGCAAACAACATACATGCTTACGATTTTAATTTTTCAGATCATAATTTTTTATCAGTAAGGAGGTCTCCACTACTGAAACATGATAGAAGACTTAGGTTTAAAGTTTAATATTTGTCCGAAGTCGCACCGATTACTCAAAAACAGCCTATGAAAAGAAACTCTATCGTCAAAGATTACATTAAAGACTCATGTTCTTCAATAACCTAAACAAAATACTCTTAAGTAACAGACATAGAGAACCATACTTCGGTACGGCCGGCTCGACCGGAGTGATACCACGGCCTCACAGAAAACCGACGTGAAGCAAAGCTTGCGTTGTGTTTCGTCGTGCGTGAGTGAGGTTACCGGAGTCCCAATTACCCTCCCCTTCCCCAATCTCCCCAATTCCTGAATCCCCACCGATACTCAAACTCCTAATCCCCAAAAGGCCGGTACGCACTTGTAACGTTTCTGTTGTTCCAGGTGTCCATGGGCGACGCCGATTGCTTACCATCAGGTGATCCGTCTCCTCGTTTACCGGCTTATGGCATAAAAAAGACTAACTCCAATTGTATCTACTTTATACAATTGTATTAACTTCCTATGCGTGTATACTTTATGAATATACATGCGTAAACGTATTTGACTGCACAACCATGAATTCAAATGAAATACAGTCACATAAACATAAGATGTATATTTATTGCCCATATATTAAGATGCAATAAAACGTTCGTTCTCAAACCCATTACATTATTAATACAATTTAATGCATCACGCACTTTTCGCTCAAAATATAAAGGTGCTGTAACTTTTGTTCCCTGAAGCCGATGGTATTCTTATTATATTGCAAAACATGTTTTCCATCAGTTAAAAGTCCATTGTGAATAAACTTTTTAATGCAGTTTAAACTCAATTTGGAATACAGTAACACTTAATAAATATTAGCACTATTTTTAGCGGTATTTTGACACTATGGATTGTCAGTATGCATATGTGAGTACCATGAAGATTTTTTTGTTTTGTTTTTTTATTTTAGTAAGTTTTGTAATTTGTATAATGCGTCAAGCGTGCCTTCGCATTGTTCTCACATATACGCACAGTATGGAAATATGTATCAGAGACATTGTAGTACATACTTTTTTTAAAAAGAGTAACAAATGGAGTTTCTTGCTCGCTCTTCTCCATTCGAATCTACATTTTAGAATTAAGACCTAGCTTCACCTAGCTTCACTGACGGACTGACTGACAAGCTATTATTTATTTTGTATTTGTTGACGTTTCAAAAGTACCAAATTGTGGTTTAATTGAAATAAATGCTTTGACTTTGACTTTGAATAGATTATTTGATGCAAATAACGCCCGAATACTGAAAGGCTACGCAATTTTAACTTGTACTTAAATATCGTACCATCAGTATCGTTTTACAAAGAATTTCTTGTGACAGAACTATACTAAAGCACGACTTTAGTATTTGAATAAAAGACACCAAATATAATTGCTTAATTATATTTAACATCTCGCTCACGTAACTGTTTGACGAACTTTAAAGACCTCAACTAGTTTCAAGCCATGCTAGTGGCCCATATTGTCTTGAAATTAGTCGAGTTCCTATTCAAAGTCGTGAAACATGATAATTAATTTTATACCTATATCTCACGAGAGTTATAATACAAAACAATATAATGACCATAATAAGACACCATATAAATAAATAAGATAATACACGATTGACATACGAATTTGTCATAGACCGCATGGTCAGCAGTAGTGCCTATAAGTAGATAGATACCAAGTCACAGCTACCACAATATTACTTTTTATAACTCTCATAATAAAATATGGAATTGAACTAGTAGGCGTATATTCCGTACAGAAAGTTTCCAAGAGTTATTGATAGATAAACTTTAGTAGATATAGAAGTTAGGGTCTAGATACGCTAGTTCATTAATAGCGTCTCATTACTACTGTTCATCTTGGTATTTAGGTAATATTAAAGGTAAGTGAGATTGTAGAGTCAAAGTACTATTACATATGCTAATATTAAGCACAAAAAGACGCTTCAATTAAGCACTTGTCACTTAGCGGCATGGCATAGAATGTTGCTCAAAATTAGCATACTCATACATAATTGTGGGAGAGCCATGCTTCGGCACGAATGGGCCGGCTCGACCGAAGTGATACCACGGCCTCACAGAAAACCGTGAAACAACACTTGCGTTGTGTTTCGTCGTGTGAGTGAGGTTACCGGAGGCTGCTATAAAAAAAACTCATTTCGGGCATGCTTGCTAATGGGCAGGCGTTCGATGTTTAAACATTTTTCAATATTTTTTTTTGTGGCACAAGCTGGTAAACGAGCGGACGGATCACCTGATGGTAAGCAATCGGCGTCGCCCATGGACACCTGGAACACCAGAGGCGTTAAAGTGCATTACCGGCCTTTTGGGGATAAGGAGTTTGAGGATCGTTGGGGATTCAGGAATTGGGGAGATTAGGGAAGGGGAGGGTAATTGGGCCTCCGGTAACCACTCTATTCTCAATAGAACGCCTTTTAGCATGCTATTTTAGAGTATACTAGCTGTTGCCCGCGACTTCGTCCGCGTAGATTAATGACTTCTGACAGAATTAACCAGAATCAATTCAGTGCCCAAGTAAGATTTACCTATTTTGAAATGATTTATCGTAGTTTCAATAAATTAATAATCCCGCAGGGATCTTACCAGTACAGTGCCCGATCACGTAAGGTTTGAGTAATACAAACTATTCTATCGACTATTGTTGTACCGAATCTCTCTAGAATAAGGTCAGTGGTTAAGAGTTAGAGAGTCCTGGGGCATTGACGCATAGTCCCCGTTCTCGCGAGACATCTGTGAAAAAACTATCATACGTTACCCAGGCCCTAAATCATTGTTTTACCGAATGTAATTCAAAAAGATTCAATGATTCTAAATTCAACGGCTAAGAAGATTTATACAAACTCTCATTCCCTATTTTATCCCCTTAGGGGTGGAATTTATCAAAATCCTTTTAAAGAGATACTATGTCATAGTAACTTTATGCATGCAAAGTCTCAGCCCGATCAATTAAAAGTGGCAAAGTATTAAACTTTCACCCCCTTTTTACCCTTTGGGGTGAAAATGTTCAAAAACCTTTCTAAAGACGTTTACGTCATAATATCATCTGCACGAATTTAACTGATCGGTTTAAAACTGACAAAGTATCATACAAACTTTATATTTTACCCACTTTGGGGTGAAATGTTCAAAAACCTTTCTAAAGGGACGTTTACGTCATAATATCCATCTGCACGCGAATTTCAACCGATCGGTGTAAAATGACAAAGTATCATACAAACTTTCACCCCCTATTTTACCCCCTTAGGGGTGGAAATTATCAAAATCCTTTCTTAGCGGATGCCTATGTGATAACATCTATCTGCCTGCCAAATTTCAACCTGATCGGTTTAAAACTGACAAAGTATCATACAAACTTTCACCCCTATTTTACCCACTTTGGGGTGAAATGTTCAAAAACCTTTCTAAAGGGACGTTTACGTCATAACATATCCATCTGCACGCCGAATTTCACTCGATCGGTGTAAAACTGACAAAGCTTCATACAAACGTTCATCCCCTATTTTACCCCCTTAGAGGTGGAAATTATCAAAATCCTTTCTTAGCGGATGCCTATGTGATAACATCTATCTGCATGTCAAATTTCAATCCGATCGATTTAAAACTGACAAAGTTTCATACAAACTTTCATCCCCTTTTTTACCCCCTTGGGGGTGGAAATTATAAAAATCCTTTCTTAGCGGATGCCTACGTCATAACATCTATCTGTATGCCAAATTTTAGCCCAATCTGTCCAGCGGTTTGGGCTGTGCGTTGATAGATCACTATGTCAGTCAGTCAGTCAGTCAATCACCTTTGAATTTTATATATATAGATGTACCTAACAGTACATCTAACGATCTCCGGCTACCGTAAGCGCGGGCCTGCGAACGGCGAGCATGGGTAGCTCCCCGTCCGACCAGAAACAGACCCGAGCGTACGGCGCGTTGCGTTCCGCGCGCGCCTCAAAGAGCCATCAGACCACCACAGATGGGGTCCAATAGAGCCGATGCCGATTCGGAGTCGCGGAGAACCTAACGGGTAACCGGGGATCCGGCTCGACGTGCAGGAGAAGGAACGGGGTGGTTTTTAGTCAGTAAGAGTCTGAAACTCCTCACCAAGGCGGAACCCTTAAAAAAAACCAGTACATCTAAGGATACTGTCAACGATGTGTCATTTGACGAATGCATGCATGCTTCACAAACAATAGGTGACCTGCAAATGATAATGCATCTTGCTTAGAAACAATGAAAACTATTCACGATGCGGCAATGTTAAATCCGCCTATCGTTTTTTAATATTGTACTACTAGCTTCTGCCCGCGACTTCGTATGCGCAATCCCGTTTTCTCCTATTCCCGTAGGATTTTCAGGTTTTTTTTTTCTTAAGAACCTTCTCCTGACAATAACAAAGACAACAAAAAAAATCTCTCGTTCTAAAGTTATAGCGTGACAACGGGAAAAGAGTTTCATTTTTATATATATACTAGCTGTTGCCCGCGACTTCGTCCGCGTAGATTAATGACTTCTGACAGAATTCATCAGAATCAATTCAGTGTAATCCAAAGATCAGTTTAAAACTGGCAAAGTATCATACAAACTTTCACCCCCTATTTTACCCACTTTGGGGTGGAAATGTTCAAAAACCTTTCTAAAGGAACGTTTACG